CATATATACATTTCTACGTACATATATGCATATATATACAAACACACCCGCATACACACATACACTTATGCGTGCTCACAACACATACATGCGCATGAAACACACCCAGACTCACTCCAAAACACGGATGATTGATGATCTAGCAGTTGCGGGTTATAGTAAAAGTAGTGCAGCAGTAATAGTAGTAACAATAGCAGTAGCAGTAGTATGAGCTGTATCATTTAAACAATCGAAGAGGAATTAACTGGGTGTTTATATAAAATACACGAGCGACCGGTTTTTGTCTGAAATTTTTGTTGCTGTAAAATTCGTTATATTTAGGAGGGGGTATCAACTGTTCGTTGGATTTTTTTGATCAATTAATTTTTCATACTTACGATTGGTGCCATGAGATGACTACAGTAAGTAATGTCTCTAAACAATCACAATCTCTGACCGCTGCTAGTTGTGAATCAAAATCATTGAAGCCATGTGCAAAACTTAAATAAAATTTTCGCCTAAGTGACACGATATTTCGTGATCTAAACTGCCCCACTGAAATTGCTGATAATGGAATGCTTAATATGCTAATGACCACTGCAAGTCTGGAGCCCTTGTGATTTTGAATAGGCCAACAAACTGAGCTCCTAATCATTCAAAATGGTCATGTTTAGAGAATGCTACCATCCCGCAGTTATTATCTTTATCAGTGCATTGCAGTTAACGCCCGGTAATAATTATTTAAGGTTTAGCCCTTAAACTTGTTCAGATATTGAGGCAGGAGTTAATTAAATCAGCGTTCTGTTCAGCAAAAAAAAAATTTCATAATTCTTATTTTAATTAATTGCGATTAATACTGGCAGTAATGCGAAGAGGGCGAATCCTTATGCTGTATTATATAATTTCATTTGTGGATCTGCGGCATTTCAGCATGTCTGTGACGTATTAACATAGGAAGGTCGTGAAGTCTTTTTTATACGCTTTCTTTCGAATCTCGGTTCAAATGTAAGCAGTTCCGAAAATCAAGGGCTTCTCGCTGTCCTTTATGAAAAACCATGACGGATGCTTATGAAGAAAACAAAAGTACAATAAATCTTCTTCAGAAATCTTCTTCAGTACAAGAAAACTTCGTTCTGGTATACTTTCTTCAAAGTATGAGAGTGGTACCAGAACAGAGTGTGCCAGTGGACAAAGAAACACAAAATGACGAAGATACGAATCTAAAAACATCGGTTTTTGGTACTCGAACCCGCTTTGTTATGGTAGTCATCGTACTCATTTGCCTTGCTAGCATATGGTAACATTTCTTTTTTCATTCGTCCTTCTTCGCTTGATATTGTTATTGATATATTTCGCTGCTTCCTCTAGCTGTGCTGAATGGGACCTCTATCTTAAAACAGTAATAAGTCAACTTTTGGACCCTATAAGTTCCGTAATTAGTAAGTTCGCAACCGCGTAGCGTCATGTGAAGAAAGGAGTAACTTTCAGCATGAGCTGATGTTGGAAAGCAGCCTGCAATTCCTCAACAGAAAAAAAGCTTGCGGGACGCTCCGTGGTACTCTTGCTGAAATTCCTTTTTCTTAATCAGCTTGGGCTTCCTCTGTGTTTTTGTGTCACATTACTTAAATACTAGATAACTTTTTAAATATTCATACTGTTTCATGCCAACAATTTTCTTATCACCAAGTACTAAACAACTAGTTAAACTTGATATTTTTTATTTATTGCCGAATATGGCGTATAATGCTTTCAAATATTTAATTTTTGACGTCATTCATCATCTCCGATTGTGCCGCTTCAGGGACCAAATATATTTTCCCTTACCTGTTACATTTTGTGTTCCATCAGCCAGGATTATGCATTCTTTTAGAAGCACCGATAATCTGGACGCTTCCCCAGGATAAAAAAGAGTCTATTAATTGAGCACGCTGGTACCCCTATTAATTATACTGGCTTGCAAAACTAGTCTATTTTTCACATGTCGAAATGACAGGCCGAATGTGGAATATAGGATCCTTACGATTCAGCTCAAAGCAAGCGAGTCATAGCAGAATGCATTCGATTAATACTCTGATGTGACCAAGAGTTATTTGAATTGTTACTGGTAGAGAAGGTCGGACAGAACTTACCTTTTCTCTTTTATCTAGTCACACTACACTTACAAACCGAAGACTAGGGGATTTCAGTGAAGGGAGGGTTATACCAGTAAAATGTTACGCTGCATTTCGTTTAGTAGTGCCTTGGTGCTGCCGGCCAAGCACAGCTTGAGTCTCAGCAATGATAGTAAATGAGGCACGGAAAAATGACTGAGATTTCCTGCTTGTGGCCTCTTGTTGATATCCGATTTTTAAGTTTAATTGCAATGTTTCTGGAATTATCCTGCTAGGGTGTACCATTTTTACCATTTCAGTCTCCAAGCAAAGTCCAGCATCTAGTCTTGGACCAGTCTTCTTTCAGGTCCAATATATTGGCGTTCAATTTTGCTGTGATCTGCATGGAAACACCGCAAAATGTTTCGAACGGTGACGAGTCACTGGATACATCCGACAGACATGACTTTACCAACAGTAAGACGCTGTAGTTTGCCTTATTTACCTTACAAGCACCGGTACTACTGGTTAGCCTGACAATGCTTTCGACACGCCTTTTGCATGCCGTAATAGCTGATCTTGAAGGGACACGGATGCTGGGCTCAATCGCCAAAAAAGTTTACTAAACCGAGCACAATAATAAAGACCGCCTCAGTGGGCTATTCACATCCCCGCCTCAAAGACCGCCTCAATACCGCTGCACAGCCACAAAAACATAAGACTGACGGCTTGGGACTGCCGTCTCGGTCACTGTTTCTGCCTTTATTTAGGCAGATTATCTGGAAGATGTTTCCCTGCTGCTCTTCTTCGCACCGCTGATCACAACAAAGAGAAGGCTGGGGCCTGGACGCAAATACTCAAGGAGAATGCATAGCAAACTGGATGGCAGCTTCGTCAGTTTTGCAAGATTTGTCAGGAAATCTTGTGCCAGTTTTCGCAGTTAAAAACAGATTCTGTCGAGGAGTGCTTCCATAATGTTATTTACTACGCAGTCTTAGTGTTAAATATTGTTTATTATTGTTTATTATGCAATCTTTATATTATTATAAACAAGTTTGGTCGCTCTCAAAATTGAAAAGCCTCACCGCAATAAACATGCGAAAGGAGCTCCTCAGACCAGTCTTGGCTACTGTTTGTCAACAAAAACTGTGCAAAATATGTGCATTCCAGGAGAGCAAAGCTGGCTGACATCTATAGTAGCCGTGGCAGCACTGCTGGCCAATTTACCAGTGGTGACGCTGATCAACCACTTTGGCATTCGAACTGTTTTTACGAGTCTCGGTGTGCTTTCATCGGCTTCCACGTGCCTCATACCACTTGCACTTCAGGTCAATCTTCCCATTTTTTACCTTCTGATATTCTTGTAAGTTCAAATACTTTTCCGGAGATCATGCAACCTCCTGCTACTGATAAAGCTAATGCTACATGGATGCTCTACTTTTATATTTTGAGTAGTTGTGTTCATTCATGCAGCTGGTATCTTCTCCATTCGTCTCTACTCTGGGCGTCTCCCACTCATATGTTTCAACTGCAGTGGTGTTTCCTTGTTTTTTTTGACACTACGCAGATGCCATTCGTTAATCCATTTTGTCCATTTGTTGTCTCTAATTTTTGCAATATAACAAGCCGATCCTTTCACGAAGTGGAAGCATTTGGGATAATGAGGGTAGTGGCCAGTATCATCACCAGCGAAAA